GTCACACCCCTTCAGATATACGATTATTGATTATATTGATCATGTGCATATGGGCCTATTCATTGCCTAGAGTTAAAACGCCTCGGTGCCTCCTCTCACCTATCCGTAGCAGAGCAGCGGTGGAAGCCAAGCCGTCCTTTTTTATCCCTTTTTCTCATCTAATTGATTCGAATTGGCTTATTTGGAGGCTGTCATTTATTTCCCTGTGAAAATCCCATGTTTTCGTGTTTAAGCGAGTGATCGGCAGCTTTTTAGCACATCAGTTATTGACTTGCAGCCTGTAAAGCTTCCGAGGAGATTTGAGCGACTTTGTTAACGACCCAAATCGCCATTTTTAAAATGTCACGGCTTAAAAGAATCGCAGCGGGTATGGATGGAGATTTATTAAAATGAAGAAAATCAGTAATTTTAACTTTTGAAAAACAACAAAATTAAAGAAAACTAAAAAAAAAAGAAGCATAGAAACAAAGGGAGGCGATTTATAGCCTACTATTTCTGCCCTCGTTGAAATTAGGCAGTATTTTTTTTTTATTAAAGAATAAAATACATCTTTTTTTCTTTTCTTTTTTTACAAAAATATGAAAATAATTTTTATGAAAACATCGAAAGTCACTAAACACTACTTGACATCCGTTTTGAGGGAGCAATTTTAGGTTGAAAATTATCATACCCCCCGGACAACTTGAAAAAAATATATTTATTTATTTATTTATTTTCACCTAAAAGGCTTGCTTCCTCTCTAAATGTTACTATGTTAGACAACAACTTTGAAAACCGGACTTAAAAAAAACATAAACAAAATATTAGATTGACCTATTCCTTTCAAACATATTAAGACATAAAGACTGTCCGACGAATTTCTGCGCTGTTAGTTAATTTTGAGCGCGTTTCCGGAGACGCTAAAAACACTTTTGGGGATATGAGGCCTCTTTGGGACTCATTTATCAATGCACCGTATTAACGACAACGATAAAAAATACACGTTTGAGCAGATTGTGATTTATGATCAAGTAATAAACATTGCGTATATTATCAACTATCCATTTTTGACTGAACAAAAAGGTTTGTATCCTCACAGCTTATAAGGTCGTAGATTAGAAACTATGTAACATATTTTACATTAACAAGGTGGTGTCTCTGGGAAACAAAAGTTCACACATAAAGTAAAATGTTAAATTAGATACATGCTTCCCAAGCTAAAATTTTCATATATTCACTTTAATATATGAATTTTTAAGGTAAAAAAAACTGTTTACAGGGGGAACTGAAGACTTAACACCAAATTGCACAGGTGTAAATGACAGGGAGCTGTCCTTTCAGCACCACGAAGTTACATCTGAAAGATGAACCAAACTGAATACTATAAGGGCTTTCATCTATTGTTTGATGTTTTGAAATTATATAAATTATTAAATAACAATTTTGCCAAGCACCTCCCAGGTTTAAGTAGCTTGGGACATGATAGTGGAACTTTACAATTACTTTAATTTACTAAACCAGATTTTGATTATGCATTAACCATCAAAATTCTCTTCACAGTTTTATACTTAAGCTTGAACAGACTTATCTGATATCTTTACGAGCTATATATTTTCAGCTTTTGTGAGAATAGCTACTCTAAACATTTTTTGTCTTGCTAAATACATATTGTCCCCATTGTTTTATTTATGTAGTTATTTGTGAACTAATACAGTCATCTAGTCATCAAACATCTAAAACTACATTTTGTGTTAATTTTTTACTGTTAATCTAAAGAAATGTGTTACACCAATGCCTCCTAAACAGAGGGTCAAAGAAGAGGATACACAAAATGCAAGTTAGAGTGAGATGACCAGAAAGCAGAAGTGAATTAAGGCTGGAAGGCTGGTATGGTGCCAGATGAAAAAGAGAAAGAAAAGAAGAAGGAAGGAAAGAGGAAAAGAATATGACAGAGCCGGGGAGAGCAGAGGAGAGAAAATCAATACCGATTCAGAGCGAGTCAGATAAGCCTGAACAATGTATAGTGCAGACACACTCTATAAACCAGTCACACACATGCAGTGTGCATGTGGAGGAACTTACGCAAACACACGGGGAAAAAAGCACTCAGTAAAATGTGCTCCAGTCTTCCATAAAGATGCTTTACAAAACCCATAAGGCATACCCACCTTTAAAATCAAATGACATCACAACCTTGGATTGCTGAGAGGATTCACATGAGCAGAAAGTGCTCATTAGGTGTCGATAGCTAGCTAGATGCTCTGATGCCCTTTGTCTACTGTATGATTCTCTTTGGATCTGATCTTCTAGTGCTTGAGTTGAGAGAATTCCCCCATCCTGCACTGAACCAAATTCTAACGTCTGCGGCTTCATTCAGCAGTAGCAGTCCAGGGCCTGCTAAGCTTGTACTATTGATGTTTCTCAGTATGTTTTGGTTGTAAACAGCAGTTTTTGAAAACCACTTACATGCCCCACGCTGTGATGTTTGGGAAGTAGTACTGGTGTGTGTGGTCCTCGGCGCTTAACCACAGATTTTACTTTGCTTACCAAGAAGATGCTGTTGCAAGTGCTTACACCACCACTCTCATGCCTCTCTCCCCCTTCCTCTCTCTCACTCTCTCTTGCCTCCGTCTCTCTTATACTTATCAATTATTAAGGCTGGTATTGATCCTTCCACTAGCCTGCCTCTATCTGACTGTTCACACAAAGCCCAAACCTGCCAGCCCTCTCTCAATCAATGGCATCTCCTGGCTTCTGCATGGAGCTTCTGCACTTTTTCTCATGTCAGATTTGGTTTTCTCACTTCTAGATTTAAGACGGGCTGACTGAAGTTTTGTACATTCCAATTTTGGTCCATTCTGACTCCTCTGAAAAAAAAAACACTTGCATCAATATTTCATAGCACAAGTATATTTGATGGGCAATAAAAAGGCAGGGAAGGGATGCCTTTGTACATCGTTTGACTTAAAGAATTTATCCTCATGTGTGCCTTTTGGGTGAGTTTGGCAATTCAAACGAGCTTCCTGTCTGTCGCTGGACTAAACAGAGAAAGATTAAAGATATTTTTGTCATGTGCTACAGAAAGGGTGAGCACTGGGGAGTGGGAGAGAAGGGGGTTGGGATGGGGAAAGGGCCTTATTGATCTTCTATGTGCAAAGCCAGGCAAACACTGAAAGGACAGAGCAACACTATTAATAACACTCAAACCCTTGGCACTAATCCTCACCATCTATCTATCTATCTATCTATCTATCTATCTATCTATCGATCATCTAGGCGTTATTCATAAGAGCATGGAGTTTGTGGACAAATAAAGCATGTTCCAAAATAAATGTTACACGCCTTTAGAGTTTCTGCTTCAATAAGGTCTGGATTCTGTTTTGTTTTGTTTTTCTTCTTCATACTATTCCATGTTCCAGATTCCAACTCCCAGTTTCAATCAATATTTCATCAAAACAGGCTACACATACAGTTGGAGGGTGCCATAAATCTGTGGAGGTTGCCAACGTTGGGATTGGATTGGTTTAAAAATATTAGGAATTTTTGTCAGGGCGCCTTCCAATGGGGATGCAGAGAAGTCATCCCTGTAAAGATATTTTCCTAATTATTAGAAATGAATTGCACATTAATGTATTTTGATTCAAGAGATTTTCATTATTGATTAGGTGAAAATGCTCAAATCTTGATCCAGTCTACAGCATTGGTTGCCTGAACCCACTCCATGCATGAAAACACTTCATCTTTCCTCATACAATAAAAAAAATCACCTTAACAACCTAAACCCTAATCCACCTGCTCTTTACTTAGCTTAGATTGTTAACGTTACTTCTATTTGAAAAGCAGGAGAGGATTGTATGGTTATTACGTCTTTCAGTTGTGTTACGGGTATTGATCGGTGTGCCACATTTAAAAAGGAGAGTGGGAACTCGCTTATTGATCAGGCAGTCTGAGGTCACCCCGCTTCTGCCGGCGCAACTAGTTGGCCCCTGTAGCCTCACCACCGCCTGGCGGTGAGAAACAGGCGTCGTGGGAGTATATTCATTTCTTCGTTATTGTGAATCACCTGGGATTAGATATTTCGATCAAAGATATGGATTACATTTTAGTTTACAACAGCGTGTCTAAATGTCAGCCTTCATAGCCCGGTAACTGATCTACTAGGTTTATATGGAGTCAAAATGTTCATGTCTGTTTCAAAACGAGTCGACCCGATATTCCCCAGCCTTCATCATTTCCTTCCCCATTTCCCCCCTCACTTTATTTCATCCCTGCAAACAAAGAAATCAATTACAGCTCACTTTTCCTAAGAATTTAAAAATATTTAAATATTTAAGTCTTAAATCTCCTCTATTTCTAAGGATTCTCCTGACCATCATTTTGATCAACTTAATCTTAAAAATATTATAGATAATGGGACCTGATCCAATTAGCTGAAATGTGCTGAATGGATTATTTTTATGGGCTCATATCCACCAAAAAAATATTTATTTAGGCTTGTATGACGGACTACGAAGTTGTAGAAGACGCCTTTAAATCCGCATCAATAAAGTTGATAATTTTCGTCTACAACAACTAAGGCACAAAATGACAAGCACTCTGGTCTTTAAAAAACTTTTTTTTAGCTGACTGTACCACATGAAAGGTCTTATATTAAACTTTTGAAATAACAAAGGTATAGCGAGGAACACAATAAAAAACAACTGAAAAGTGAGGTAAAAAGACAAAAACTGTAAGGGTCCGAAATGGTAATTGGCCAACTCAATCCTTTGCAACTTTTACTTTTCATATGTGCCTGAATCAACTAAAAAAGAATGAAATGACAAGAAGGTAAAAAGACCATTGCTTTTTTTCTCTCTGCGAAAGCTGCCCTGCAGAGGAGCTGTCTGTGGTGCTGGATTTTAGCTTATGTGCGGCTCTTTCAAACAACCCGTGTGCTGTTTAAAATAAGGTTGTAATGTCATGTCTCTGTTGTTTGAAAATGTAGAATGTGAAAGATGGATGTAGTGAAATGACTGCCTCACCGGCCAGCCGCAGAGCGGACATCCGCTGAAACTCAGGCTCCTGCAGCCACTTCCACATCCTCCTGAACGTCTCCCGGCCTGACTTGAGTTTACTCCAGGGCTTGGGGTTCCGCAGCAGGTCCGACAGGGTGCCTTGCGACCGGCTCAAGATCCGTTGGGCAAAAATAGCCTGCGGAATAGAGTAGCGCTTCAACTCGGCCGTTATCCTTTGAGCCACCTCCTTCGTGTTGATTTCCTCTGCCTGGATCCCCGACCCCGACGCTCCCTGACTGGCTACATGACCGTGCCTCTCCCGATCCATCATCACCGCACCGTTTGCCTGGGAGTGAAGGTGGCTGTGCGGATGGTGGTGCATGCCGTTTAGGTTGGAGATTAAGCCGTGGCCATGCCCCCCTAAACTCCTGGCTAAGTGCTCCTGGTCGCTTCGAGACAGCATGGAGGCGTGAGACTCGAACCCTGACACCGGCGAGAGCATCTTGGTTTCGGTGGAAAGGTGCGTGCTGGGACCGTAGGCGGATAGCGACTGTTGGGAGTTGTGCAGAGATCCAAGCCCGCCGGACAACGGCGACAGCGATCCATGACCCATGCTGGCAACAGACATCTCTTTGGGGTAGTGACTGTATAAGTTGCCCATGGAGGCCAGTCCTCGGTGGTCCTCCCTCATCAGCGTAAAGCTGCCGCTGACGTTCCCGGCGGACAGTCGTTGGTGGGCGGCAGGGTGGTGGTGCGAATGCGGGTGGTGAAACTTATCCGCCACAGTGGATATCGGAGGTAGATGCTGCAGAGGGGTCAGCGTGGTGTAAGTGTTACTAAGGCTCATCCCGGTCTCACACATGCTGATGGATGAATGGAGGTGTCCCGACAAGGCGGATGGGTCCGTCCGGTAATCCCCGCCGGACCCTTCCAGAAGTGAGGCCATGCCGGATACCATGGCCGGTCTCCCACCTGGAGCGTGCGAGACCAGGTTCCGGGGTGTGGAGCTTGGAGACGGAGACGGTCGAGCGTGCGGAGAGCTCATGAGGTCCCCCGGCTGGGAATGCGATGAGACGCTGTGTAAGTTGTCCATGGTGAGCTCCATGGCTGAAGGAGCGAATGTGCGCTTCTCCCACCCTCCCCTCGCTCTCTTTCTGTTCTTCTCACTCGCGTTCGCTCTTGCCTTCCCTTAACCCTCCCGGAGAAATGAAATTACCGATCCGTTTGAACACAAATCCATCGAAAAAAAATTCACCAATCGATTTGAGCCTTTATGAGAGAGGTTTGGTGGTTCACAGAACCGGCAGGCTGTGTGCTCAAACATGTGCTTTGGAGCTTTCTTGGTCTGGATCTCATCTGTGGTCCGACAGCGTAAGCACTTGTGTTTCAGAGGGAAGGGTGCGCGCCTCCGTGTGTTTTTAACGCAGCACGGGCACGAGCAGAAGTTCCTAACGAACTGACTCACGGCGCTGTCAATTCTGGCAAACAATAAAATATTTATTTAGAGTTCTCAGCACGAGAAAGAGCTCCCAGTCTAATATTAATTATAAGATAATTTTAAAATTACTTTTGTCAAGTATATGTTTTTGCCCACAAACACAACCTCCTCCATAACCATTTTCCACCGACTTTTTATTTTATTTTATTTTATTTCCTATATATAAAATTTCTATTCGAATTCCTATCAGAATCACTTTGTTTTCCCACGGACTGTATGGTTTTGCATTTATGCGCTCAGTGATAAACCTGATCGAAGTATTGACTGACAGAGATTAATGAAGGGGCGCGGGAGGGGGAGGGAGGGGGCGATGGAGGTCACAAAGTTAGGATCCCCTACTCTACTATAAGGACCAATGAAAGAGTACCAACTATGTAAAAGTTTTTACAAATCAGAGCGGAATTTAATTTCCCTGAAAATAATTGCGTAGCCATCTCTAGAATATAATTCCTCCATATTTTTGGTTTGTAGATTATTTAAAATAAAGAATAATATCAAAACAAAAGGAACAAAAACAAATATTTTGCTCTACTGTCGAGTCTGGCCCGAAATTTTAATTCCTGCAAATATGAATATAGCTATAAAAGTAACAGAAACAACAATTAGATGGCCGAGTTGTTAGATTTACAGGCAAACAGCAAAGAGTTCAATGATTCATGAAAATCCGCCTTTTTCATCCACAGCCCGTTTATTCTTAATGTTGATTGTGTTTGGTGAGCGCGTCATTTACTGGCCCATCTTAAACGAAAAGAATAAAAAAAAAAAAACTCAAAAGCCATTAAACCTCTTTTAATATATTTTTTAATTGCTTCTAATATTGCTCTCTTGTGCAATATTTCGGAGTAATAAACTGCCAGTCGAAAACGAATAGGCTATCTAAGATGTGAAGGGGGAAAATACGAGTTTCTCATAAAATTTTCACGTTAGTTTATAGATTAAGTGTACATTTGCTTTTTTTATCTATTTATTTATTTTTTTAAAGGCCATTGAACAGTGTCAGATTTTATTTATTCCGTTGCACAAATCTAGGCGGCCTTTTTAGAAATGCAGTTAAAAAAATTAATAGCTTTAATAAAGATTTATACCCGCCTTGAGAATTACTAATTAATCAAATCCCAAACTTTGGTTATTTTATCGAAACGACTATTTTATTTATTCAGTCCAGCAGAGAAAAGATTATTGTTCGGCCTATAAATGACAAGAATGTCTATTCAAAACATTTGTTTCCGGTTATCATAAAGCTGGAAGCTGTTTCCCCTCAAAGTTCAGCTATTGATCAGAATCATTCAATATATTGATCCTCGATCAGCCCGCAGTTTCCTAAACAAAGAGGCATTTTGCTGTTGGATTGTTTCAGCCGTTAGGTTTTGACCTGTATGGATGTTGGACACCAGGAATATTCTGGAAAAATAAATGTTAGCTGCGTTTTTCTGTTTTCTGCAGAGCAGAAGGCCGTTAAAGGCTTCACTCCCTGCTGATCCCGTTAAAGGTGATAATAATATCTCTGCAGGCCTTAAATTCTTAAATAGAATTTTTTTAACTGTTGCAATTTTAAGCACAAACACGCACGAAAAAAAAAAACAGAAATGAGGTATAAAGACTTACAGTTTCATCTGCACCTTTATAACATATTCTATTTAATTTTGGAAAGTAGGCCTTCCTGTTATTATCACAATTTTTTAATTATATATTATAATTATCACACATTTTTAATGCCAGATTTAAACTGTAGGTGCTGGCAATTAGTTTTGTTTTTAGAAGTTTGTTGTGTCAGCTGCTTCGGGCCTGCATTATGTGACCATAGAGCCCCACAAAAATACACAGCAATTTTGTTTCTGTGGTAATAATTGACATTATTGGAAAATATAACCTAAGAATTGTTGCACTCACTGTTTGCTAGGTTTGCTCTAAATGATGCATACATCATTATGTCCATGTTACTAAAATTAGAGTATTAGTCTAATTGGTGTTTTTCCCCTCACTGTAATTTTTGTAATTGAAGGGCTGCAATAGAAAAGATATTTAACTCTCACTGTTAAAGAAGACAACTAGGGAAAGGAAATCTTTTACACAGTTAAGAAACTTTGGAAATTAAATGAAAATTTAGAAAGCTAAAAAAAAAAAAAAAAAAAAGATAAGATGCTGATTAGAATAAGAAATGTTCTGTTTATGTTTCGTTTTTAACAAAACTGTTTAAATAATTTTACTTATTTTCTTAAATGAAAATCTACCTTCATGTGGTAACAAAAACATGTTTATTAGAAACTGTTATGATTTGCATTAGTTTGACTTTGACGTTTAAAATTATTTTAGAGAACCAAAGAAGAATCATTGCTTTAACATTTTATGTTAAGATTTGAATGATTTATTTATTTTGGGTTCATTGATCTCGGTTGTAATTTGTGTTGCTTGTATTTCTAAATACTTTAAAAAATATCTAAATTGGTACAGTTTGTACCTCCATGTTCTGCTCAGAACAAAATCAGTAAGAAATCATTGTGTCACAAAAGTCTTAACATTTGATATTTTTCTAAACATTTTAGGTACTCAACATATATCTTTAAAATTCAGCAAATATATAATGTTTATAATAAAAAAAATATATATATGAGTATGTTAGCAGCTATTGCCATATTAAGTGGATATATGGGTCACTGTTTTTAATTTTTTTTTAGAATTACTCCTTTTGCTTTTAGTGCAAAGTCGAGGCTCCTACTGTACATGTTGTAACAATGTCAGCTTGCTGTTTACCAAATTTCTGTATTGACTCTCTATTAACGGAAAAATGTTTAATATGTTTTATGACAGTATTATCTTTGTTGTCTGCCTACTTTTGGAAGCATGCTTAATTTGCAATAGTGGAAGTTTAAGCTGGTTTTATCTGATATGAATTCAGCTACAACTAGAAAATCATAGCAGCAAAATGAAACAAATAAAATGATAAAAACAATAATTGCCTATATGTACATCTTTTATATCACTAAAAGCTATATCTGCTATGTATACTTTCATAAAGCGTATCCATCTGTTCTTGGTCATAATTTAAATGATTTTTTTCTCTAAACCTTTTTTCCTCTGCTAAAAAACACAAAAGAAAATTTGTTGTTTTTATTACAACTGAGTTTGCACTATATCTAACTGAATTTTATTTTATTTTTTGTAAATTTGAGAGCAGTTTAAATCACAGTCGGCACGCCATTCTCATTACTCATATGTCTTCATCAATGCAAAATGCAGAGAAGTATAACTTCTCCAGCATCCATATCCTCCTAGGCTCTGGTTGCTAAGTAACAGAAAGGGAGATGTATTGAGACCGAATAGTCAATCAATTTTCCTTTGAGGTGTTTGGATGTGTGTGTGTGCATTCGTTTGTCCAAGTATTGCACATGCAGCCGTGTTGTTTGCACAGTTAGGTGTTGAGGAGAACACTTAGAGACTAAATTCAAAACAAAAATATGGCTGAGGGCTGCATAGCCAGTCATTGATCACTTATATTGTTTGATCTTTCACAGATATATTTTCAAAAGGAGGTAAAGTTTATTTAGAATAAAGCCACATACTATTAAGCAACACAACCACTGATAAACATCATTCTAACAAAAGTCAAAATGAATTGAGCTACAGTTGTCTGCCTCTCGCAGCTTAAAAAGAAAATCAGACATAACAAGTAGATTTGCACTTTTGTAGAACGTAAATGTTAAGGTTAATTTTGTTTTCCCTGTGAAATTTATGATGCCATTTTTAAAAAAGTATTTAAAAGACATTGTCTTTAGAGTCTTTTGTTTAAATTAGGGTTACTTTATCTTTTCCTACTGCATTTCTCCATATTTAATCTAAGTTAATTATAAAATATAACAACATTGAAAAATTAACGTACTATAAAGAAACAACTGAAAACAAAAACATTTCTTTACAGTAAAAATAACAATTTCTGATCAAGAGTTAATTATAACATCTACATTGATTCTTACTCAAATAGTTAGTGTATCCCTTTGCTGCTGCATGCGATTAGAAAAAGCTTCTCAACACTTCAAAAAAAGTTTGTCCTATTTAACCTCTCCGTCTTTTAAAGTGAAATAGAAAACCAAAGTGAGACTGAAAGATCTATTTGAGGGTTTCACAAAGAAAAATATATGAAAACATCATCAAAATGCCCATGAAAGAAGCAGTCTTCGAAAGCCGTCATTTGCCATGAGGGACCTATTGAATGCTGTCTGCCATTGTAAAGGTGCAAGCATTTATCGGGTGAAGGTGACGTGGGGTGTAGGAGTTTGCCCTGAAATGGAAGGATTGAAGGTTCAAGCCCTTGCTCTGGCTTCCGGTGTCGTTGTATCCTTGGGCAAGACACTTCACCTGCATTGTCTACTGATGGTGGTCACAGGGCAGCTGTGGCTGCAGTGTAGCTTGCCACCGTGAGTGTGTGCATAAATGGGTGAATGACTGAATGTAGTGTAAAGTGCTTTGGTCAAGTCTCCTGACTTAAAAAGTGATATATAAGTACAGATCATTTACCATTTCTAAAAAGAAAGAGACTGCAGAAGTTTCACCTTTTTTGGAGAGGTGCGAAACAAGGAAACCTTCAGTCTCTAAGAATAACATGAGGTCCAGTATGCAGACAGACAGACAAACAGACAGACAGACAGACAGACAGACAGACAGACAGACAGACAGACAGACAGACAGACAGGAAGGAAGGAAGGAAGGAAGGAAGGAAGGAAGGAAGGAAGGAAGGAAGGAAGGAAGGAAGGAAGGAAGGAAGGAAGGAAGGAAGGAAGGAAGGAAGGAAGGAAGGAAGGAAGGAAGGAAGGAAGGAAGGAAGGAAGGAATAATTTGGATTCCGGTACCTCTTTAGCATAGACCAAAACCAGGGAAGGAACCCAAAA